ACAAGGTATCAAAATTTATGGGATGTAGCAAAAGCACTGCTAAGGTGGAGTGCTTACATTTAAAAATAAATCTCAAAACAGTAACCTAACTTTACAATGTAAGGAGTGAGAAAAAACAGAACTAAACCTAAACATAGCAGAAGGAAGGAAATAAAGTTAGAGCAGAGATAAAAGAAATTAATAGAAGAACTAGAGAAAATCAACGGAACCACAAGTTCTTTGAAAAGATCAAAAAGTTGAAAGCCCTATCCCTAGATGGACTAAGAAAAAAAAAGACTCAAATTGCTAAAGTAAGTGAAAATGGGGAGAACACTGATTCTACAAGAATGAAAAGGGTTATAACAGTACTATAAACTATTATACACCAACAAATTGTACAACTTAGATGAAATGAACAAATTCCTAGAAAGACAAAACCTATCACTGCTGAACCACAAAGAAACAGAAAAATCTGAATAGACCTATAACTAGTAAGGAGATTAAATTAGTAAGCAAAATTCTCCTGAAAAAGAAAAGCTTTGGAACTGATGGCTTCACTTGTGAGTTCTACCATGCAATTAAAGAAGAAATAAGACCAATCTTTCTCAAACTTTTCCCGAAAATTGAAGAGGAGGAACAATTGCTAACTCATTCTAAGAGGCCAGCACCAATATTTCTCATGAACATGGACTCAACAATCCTCACAAAATACTAGCAAATTGAATCCAGCAGCATATTAAAAGGATTTACCATGACCAAGTGGAATTAATTTCTAGACTACAAGGACTGTTCAACATACAAAAACCAATCAATACACCACATTAGGAGAATAAAGGGGAAAGATCACACGATCATCTCAATCGATACAGAAAAAGCATTTGACAGAATTCAACATCCTCTTGTGATTAAAAACAACAAATGAATAGAAGGAAACTGTCAACACAGTAAAAGCCACACATGAAACCCCGCAGTGGACGCCACACGCAACGGCGAACGCCTGGAAGCCTGTCCTCTAAGGCCAAGGCACGGATGCCCGGTCTCACCACTCCTGCTCAACACGGCACTGGAAGTTCTAGCCTGAGCAACTGGGAAAGGAAAGCAAACAAAAGGCATCCAAGTTGGAAAGTATGAGGTCAAAGTATCTCCATTCACAGATGATATGATCTTATATGTAGAAAGCATTAAAGATTCCACACAAAAAAAGAGTTAATATAATATATGAGTTTGACAAGTAACAGGATATAAAATCAGCACACAAAAATCAGTTGCATTCTATACATTAACAATGAATAGTCTGAAAGGAAAATTATAAGAACAGTTTCATTTACAGCAGCATCAAAAAGAATAAAATATCTAGGAATTAACAAAAGGAGGTGAATGACTTGTGCAATGAAAACTATAAAACATTGCTGAAAGAAATTAAAGACGACATAACTAAATGGAAACACATTCTGTGTTCATGGACTGGAAGACTGAATATTGTTAAGATGGCAATACTACCCAAGGGGATTTACAAATTCAACGCAACCCTATCAAAATCCCAATGACTTTTTTTTTTTTTGGCATAAATAGACAAACTCATCCTAAAGTTTATATGGAATCTAAAGGGACCCCAGATAGTCAAATTGATATTAAAAAAGAATTAAAAAGCTGAAGGACCCATACTTGATTTCAAAACTTACTACAAAACTATAGTAATAAAAAAATGTGACTCTGTCATAAAGTTAGACATACAGACCAATGGACTACAATAGAGAGCCTAGAAATAAACCTTCATATGTAGTTAAATGGTTTTCAGAAAGATGCCAAGACCATTCGATGGGGAAAAGACAGGTTTTCAACAAATGGTGGTGGGAATACTGGGTACCACATGTTAAAGGATGAAGTTGGAACCTTACCCAAGCATGCAAAAATTAACTCAAAATGGATCAACGACCTAAATGTAAAAGCAAAAATTATAGAACTCTTAGAAGAAAATGGGAAAGCTTCAGGATGTTGGATGTGGCAATGCATTCTTGGATTTGAAACCAAATTCATAGGCAAAAGGAAAAAAGAGACAAACTAGACTTCATCAAAATTTTAAAATCTTGTGCATTAAAGGACACTATCCATAGAGTAAAAAGGCACTCCATAGAATGGGAGAAAATATTTGCAATTCATATATATGATAAGGATTTAATATCCAGAATACATACAAAACACCTAAAACACAATAACCAAAAAACCTGATTAAAAAGTGGCCAAGGACTTGAATAGACAGGTCCCTAAAGAAGATACACAGATGGACAGTGAGCACATGAAAGGGCGATGAAAAGATGCTCCATAAACAACGGGTTCCCTTAAACAGTAGGGAAATGCACACCAAAACCACAATGAGATTCCACTTCATACCTATTAGGATGGCTATAATTTTTTTTTTTTTTTTTTGAGACAGAGTCTCGCTTTGTTGCCCAGGCTAGAATGAGTGCCATGGCATCAGCCTAGCTCACAGCAACCTCAAACTCCTGGGCTCAAGCGATCCTTCTGCCTCAGCCTCCCAAGTGGCTGGGACTACAGGCATGCACCACCATGCCCGGCTAATTTTTTCTATATATATTATTTGGCCAATTAATTTCTTTCTATTTATAGTAGAGACGGGGTCTCACTCTTGCTCAGGCTGGTTTCGAACTCCTGACCTCGAGCAATCCGCCCGCCTCGGCCTCCCAGAGAGCTAGGATTACAGGCGTGAGCCACCGCGCCCGGCCTATAATTTTTTTTTAAAAAAGGCAAAAACAGAAAATAAGTGTTGGCAAGGAAGTAAAGAAACTAAAACTCATGTTCATTGCTGGTGGAAATATAAAGTGGTGCAGATACTGTAGAAAATGGTATGGCAGTTTTCAAATTAAGTATAGAATTACTATTTGATCAGCAATTCCAGTTCTGGATATATACACAAAATAACTGAAAATAGGGGCTTGAGGGTAGATTTGTACACCAGTGTTCATAGCAGGATTATTCACAGTAGTTGAAAGTTGGAAACAACCCAAATATCCATCAACAGATGAATGGATAGACAAAATGTGGTATATCTATAACAAGGGACTACTACTCAGCCATAAAAAGGAATGACATTCTGATACATGCTACATCATGGATGAACCTTTAAGACATTTATTTTAAGTGAAATAAATCACAAAAGGACAAATACTGTGTGATTCCATTTATATGAAGTATCTAGAAAAGTGAAATTTATACAAAGTAAGACAATGGTTACTTTCTGTCAGGGGTTGGGGGCAGGAGTGAATGGGGATTTATGGTTTAAGGGGTACAGAGATATAGTGTGGGGCCATAGAAAAGTTCTGGAGATGCCTCGTGGGGATGGCTGCCACACGGTGTAAATGTACTTAATGCCACTAAACCATATACTTCAAAATGGTTAAAATGTAAATCCTACATATATTTTACCACAATAAAATTTTTAGACCACTAAAAAGAAAAATATATGGCCTAGCTATTTTTTAAAAAGAGCCATCAAGCCACAAGACAGAAGAATCTCAAATGTGTATCACTAAGTGAAAGAAGCCAGTCTGAAAGGCTACGTACTATATGATTCTAAATATAAGACATTCTGGAAAAAGCAAAGTTAGGGAGACAGTAAAGACATTAGTGCTTGCCAGAAGTTCAGTGGGAGACAGGGAGTAGTAAATACTAGGATTACAGGAGATGTCAAAACACATAAAACTACAAGAAAAAGAGGAACTTAATGTAAATTACAGACTTTAACAAATAAGAACGTGTCAGTATTGGTTCATTAATTAAATATATTGCACTAGTGTAAGATGTTTAATAGAGGAACTGGATGGGGGAGGGGAACATGGAAACTCACTACTATCTGCTCAGTTTCCCCATAAATCTAAAACTTTTTGAAGAATAAAGTATTAATTAAAATTAATATTAATTTCAAATAAATAAAAAGTAAAAATAATTATTTAAAATTAATTAAAAATAATTTTCATTTTATGTACTCTAGCTCAGTGTCTCATGCTCATATGTATTTGTTGCTTAAGTGAATGATGAGTGAATGAATGAATCTCTGACACCAGTGACAGATTCAATCCACAACGTCCACATTGGACCAGGCTGTGCAGAAAAGCCAGTTTGCGTGCCAGTCTTGAGGAAGACATGGGTCAGAGATGAGCTGTTAGATTCAGCCAGTGCTTGCTCTGCTACCTGAACCATTTACCAGCCCCAGACCTTTCTACTCTTCCACACTGCTCCAAGACTTTATTTCCATACCTCCTTAAAGTCACTATTGCTATTTTTCTTTTTCTTCTTCTTTTTTACACATAACTTAGGTGGAAAACAAATGGAGAAATTAAATTGTTCTGACCTAATCAATTCTTAATTTGCACCTGAAAAGATTAAAACTTCCCATTCTAGAAAATCATGCACTAGAAATTATAGGCCTTATGGATAAAATAGGCTTGGAACCTGTGTAGTAACCTGTGTAGTAACGGCAAAAAATCCAAATTTCCACTGGCATTTGCACTGAGAATTAGTCTATCTTTTGCAGTCTTAAACTTTCAAATTTATGTTTTTTCCTGTGAGATATAGATCCTTGAAATCAATTCCTTCTAATAGAAACCATTTTTGTCAATATTAAAAATATGATATAGAGGTATCCTTCCTCATCAATCAGTGCTTTTTTCTATTTGCCAAATGAAATGTCTTGAGAGCTTTTCCTCTGTGCTTGCAGCTTCTCAGACGCCCTAGCACAGTAAACAGTGAGGTGGTTATGGGTCTACTAAACTGGCCACTCCTTGCACTGGAAGGATTTTTATCTTTTCATAAGATCTTCATATTCCTTCTCTCTAGCTGTAAGAACATTTGTCCCTGATGGCTTCAATACATTAGCTTATTGGGAAAAATAATTTTGAACCAATGTGACTTCCACATTATACTGATATCATCCCCCTATTCACCAATCGCAAGTGAGCTGATGGGCATCACAGAAGCACACAACCTGGCAGCAGAGCAGACCGTGTTTTGTGATATGACAACTTACACAAGTGTTTTATTTAGGAAATGAAGGGTTAAATTTTTAATTTCTTTCACCTTATGTTGTTTCATTTTCTGCCTTTGTAAAATAAAAGCAGTGATTCCATTCACTTTGACATTTCTTCAGTGTTCTCCATGACCTATGGAAAATAATTAAGAACTGAGATGTTTTCCCCATTGTGATTTTTAAAATACGCACACCTACTTACACATCTCTCTTATCTTATTCACATATTCAAATCTGCTTCTTCTGTTTGTGATATAAAGAGTTGTGGATAGATCCAAATCTAAATCTTTACATGTTACAACAACAATCTCATCTAGGGCTTTGAGATAAGCATTTCATTGTGAATTTACTCACTGTGGTAGGCACTGGTATGGCTTGTCTCTACCAGGTTGATATCATACTGGACGGAACTGGCTCTCTGAAGGTGGCCCTTCCTGACAACACATAAGAGAAACACAAAAATAGAAAAATGGGTAATAGGAAAGTATGTCAGAAGACCTAGAAAGGAAGTTTAAACTTTAATATTTAGAGGTTCATTTTCTTTCCACAATTATCTGAAATTGTCAGGGATGCTTTAAAACTGTATCCCATTATCTAACAAATGCATCAGTGCAGGTGGGTCATCTGTGGGGACTTCAGATGCTGATGATGCCACCTAGTCTTTCTCCTTTAAGACAGCAAAGCTGTTATATCTTAGTGTGATTTTTTTGTGTGCTTTATTTATTTAAGATCCCCTTACATGTTAAGTACTCTTTCGGAAGAATTTAATTTCCATTTTTAGTTGGACCCTTATGTGACATGGAGGGTCTTTAGTCAACTATTCTATTAATGGCATTTTAAAACATCATTTTGGACATTTTTAAGGTTTCAGTCCTTCAGTTTTTTGGGTCATCTGATCAATTAATACAGGTTATAATTTATGTGATCATGACATATTTTTAAAAAACTAAAGATTTTAGAATGTACAATTACTCCTGAAACTACTGATTCTACCCCAGATTTTAGCATTAGTGGGGTACCATTCTGGACCTTATTCAAAGATGGCATTAGTAATTAATGTTCAAAAGGCCCTCAGTTTAAAGCAATTTCAACCATGAATGGACCAAAAACTATTACAATAAACAGTTTCATTCTTGAAAGCACCACATTTCCAAGAGACAAATACATTTCACATGGTTCGTACATAACAGCCTACATTTTACATCTAGATTCTATAAGCAATAGCCACTCATGTTATTTTTCAAATTAATTCCACTCTTGACACTATGACATACCTCTGCTCATATATCTGCTTTGGTTGTTCTTAAAAGAATGAAAAATGTATGATTTCAAACACATTGCAACCCTATCTGAACATTATTCAAGGATGTATTTTTATAAGCATGTTAAGGATGCTATTTTCTCATTGATTAAATTTACATACATTTTCCAAACATCTTAAAATTAAAATGTTAAAGCATACATACAAAAAGAGTGGATAAAATATGTGCAGTTTAAAAATCAGCAATAAACACCTATGCACCCAGCACAGGATTAGAAATAAGCCATTAACATTTCCCAGAAATGTGCCTTCTCTAATTGCTTCCCTCTCCTCCCCACCAGAGGTAACTGCTATCCTGCATTTTGTGCCAATCAGTGTCTTTCTTTTCTTTATACTTTCTACCACTTATATGTGATCCTAAACAATACATTATTTAGTTTTGCCTAGTTTTAGACTTTCTATGAATCAAATTGTGCTATTATGTTTTCTTCTGTGACTTGCTTCTTTCACTCAAAATTATGGTTCTAAGATTCATCCAGGTTGGTGTATGTAGCTGTAGTTCATTTCTGCTCTTATATATTATTCTTTGGTATGAACATGCCATAATTTGTTCATCTGTTTTACTGTGTAATAGGTACTTGGGTAATTTCTAATTTTTTTGCTGTTCTGATCAGTTCTGCTATAAATTCCTGGTACACATTTGTGAGAGTTTCTATAAGGTTTATACCCAGAAGTGAAATTACTGGTGTGTAGAGCATGTACTTGTTCAACTTCATAAGGTATTTGCAAACTGATTCAAAAGTGGTCAAAACTGTTTCAGATTCTAAAGTCTCATAATATTTTACATTGTCTGGTTGTTTTTTTAAAAAGTTTTTCCCAATCTCATGAATGAGATAATGGTATCTGATAGTAGGTTTAATTTGCATTTCTTTGACTAATAAGGTTGAGTGTCTTTTCATGTATACATTTGCTGGAGCTTTCATCTCCTATAAATTATTTTTCCCATATATGTCTATCTTCTTCTTAATGATGTGGAGTTGATATATTCAAGACATATATATCCATAAGTCTATTTTCATGTATTGCAAACATCTACCTCCAGTTTGTAGCTTGGCTTTTTTCTTTATTTAACGGTATTTTTTGATAACTAAAAGTTTTCAATTTTAATACAAATTTACCAGCCATTTCTTTTGTGATCTGTGCCTCTCGATTCCTGTTTCAAAAATCTATGCCTGTCCCCAAGAGCACAAAGACATTCTTTAAATGTTTTTCTGCGGGCTTTCATATATAGGTCTACCTGAACTGGATTTTTGAGTTTTGAAGCAAAGATCCAATTTTACTTTCTTTTATATGGATATACATTAATGCCAACACCATCTACTGAAAAGCCCATTATTCCCCACTGCTCTGCAGCACCGTCTCTGCTGTGTGCCAGCCATGCACATTTGCTGCTTGCTGTAGGCTTTTCGTCTGCACACTTTTTTTTTTCTTCCTGGTTTGGTAAGTATCTTTATTGAGAGAGTTAAAGGATTTTTCTCCTTTAATCTATAAATAAAATGAAATATATTAGTTAATATTTTAGTGTTACAATAACTTTGCATTCCTGGAATAAATCTAAGATCATCACAGAGTTTTACTCGTGAGTTCCAAATATCAATTTGTTTTTTTAATACATTGCTGGATTTGGTTGGCTAATCTTTAATCTTTTACATATAGGTTAATGAATAAGATTGGCCCATAATTTTCTTTTTCTTTACATAATGGTTCATTTTATTTACTAACTTGGCTGGGCCACAGTGCCCAGATATTTGGCCAAACATTATTATTGATGTTTCTGTGAAGGTATTTTTTGGATGAGATTAACATTTAATTCTCTGGACTTTGAGTAAAGCAGATTGCCTTCCACAATATGGGTGAGCCTCATCCAATCAGTTGAAGGCTTTAATAGATAAAGACTGACCTTCCTTAAGTAAAAAAGGAATTCTGCCAGCAGACTGCCCTTGGACTTGAACTGTAACGGCAGCTCTTCCCTGATCTGCAGCCTGCTGGCCCACCCTGCAGATTTTGGACTTGCCAGCCTCCTTGACAGCTTTGGAATTGCTTGAACCAATTCCTCAAAATAAATACCTCTTCTCTCTCCTTCTCCCTCTCTCTCTCTCCACACACACACATACACACACCCTATTGGTTCTGTTTCTTTGGAGAACACTGACATAAACACTAAAACATACTGTCTGTTATGAACAGAATTGTGTTCCCCTGAAATTCTTATGTTGAAACCCTAACCTCCAATGTGCATACAGTTGAAGAAGATAGACCTCCCTCTTAGGGAAGGTAATTAAGGTAAAATGTGGTCTCAGGGTGAGGCCCTAACATGACAGGACTGGTGTCCTCATAAGAAGAGGAAGAGACACCAGAGATCCTTCTTTCTCCACACATTCACTTATTAAATATTTTCACAAATTTTTTTAAAACACTGAAGAACAAAACTAATGAACGAAAGTAATCTTAATTGTACACTGTTGCTTCATGTGAGTCATTTTTTCTTTTCTGAGTTACCAGTCTCCCCAAATTAATTGCCTACTTATTTGTCTCTCTCTCCAAATTGATTTAAATCTCTGTGAAGTTAGGGAACACGTCTGTCTTGTTCATTATTGAATTTTTTAGCACAATGCCTAACACATGGTAGGCACTAAATAGTTGACCCTAGATAATAACCATATGTCTTAAACTTAACATTTACAGTATTGCATACCTGTTTTTTCCTTTATATTCAAAATTTACTTTAAAATACACCTAGCCCCCAAATTTAGGTGTTTTTGGCATGATTACTGTAGTGAGTATGGGTCTATATTAGTACTTTAGAGAAGTCAAAGTAAATAATGATGACAGTAACAAAAACCAAATTAAGATTGTTTATTAAGATCCTTTCAAAAATGACATTAATTTAATAACAAAAACTATATTTGAGAGATAACTCTAAACATAAAATAGTATCTGAAAAAAATATCTAGAACTAAAGAGCATATTGATTATTTAGTGAAACAACTACTTTATGTACTACCTTTTTCTTTTCAAAGGATGTTTCTATTATGGTTACCTGCAAAGGAAGTAGAGGGCTCCAATGATAAGTGTTATTAGAAGGACAACCATCACCACGAAAGCTGCAAACAGGTTGCTTTTAGTTTGGATGCTGGAGCTTGGGAGAAAAACCTCTTCACAACGAGCTCCTGTATAATTTTCGATGCACCTACAGAATAAAATTTTAGATAAAGAATTGCATTCTATGTTCTATTAGCTAATTTAGAAAGAAAAAGGTTTCCAGCTGTTATGAAGAAAAAAGACTAATTTAATAATTATAATGTGAACATGGAATAGATATGCTTTCCTATAATGCTAACACAGCTATAGTTACAATAAAACAAATTCAGTGTAATCTTCGCTATCTTCTTTTTCTACTTTTCTAATTGCTTAGAAACTCCAGAGAAATTACAGAGTATTCAATCTTATCTTCCAGATTTTCAGTGATCTAATTGTCCATACTGAACTCAAATTCATTTACAATTTATTTTTTGTTGTATTTGGTATACATGGGGATCTAAATGCTTTTTTTCTCAAAAGGCTAGCTGGTTATTCCAACCCCATTTATTAAATAATCATTCCCTACCCACTTTTAACCATGACTCCTTTAAAATATGTCAAATTTATGTAAGTAAACAGCATTTCTTTCTGTTTTTCAATGATCTACACATCTAATCTTGGGCCTTTACCACACTGCTTCAATTTTGTTACTTTATGTTTTACTATTTGGTAGTTCTACTCTCTACCTTATTACATTTTTTAAGAATTTTTTAAATATTTTCATTTTCCAACCAAATATTTTAAAGCCAATTATGTTTAGCTCTCTAAAATTGTATGAAATTTGAAGGACCTTCTCCATCTACCTTGAATCAGCTGCTATCCTCCCACAGCTCTTTATGATTAGCAAGACTGGGCAGGCCGAGACCATCATCACCCACTACCTGCTCTTGCTGGGCCTCCATCGAGCTTTGTATCTTGTCAACTGGATCTGGCACTTCTACCTTGAGGGCTTCTTTGACCTCATTGCTGTGGTGGCTGGCGTAGTCCAGACCATTCTATACTGTGGCTTCTTCTACTTGTGCATTACAAAAGTACCCAAGGGAAAGAGGCTCACTTTGCCAGCGTAAGTGCCAAAGACCATCGCCAGCATCTGTCCTTCAGGCTGCTCGGACAGAATTCTCACCACAGCAAAGGCACAAGATGCTTGATATGGAAAATCAGAAACTTAACTCTTTTGTTGCAGATAGTCATCAGTGGCTCTGTAAGAACACAGAGGAAAAGAACCAGAAGGTTTCTGTTTAATGCATCTTGCCTTATCTTTTTTTATCTTTGTACTATGTACAAAGATTGTTTTGCACAAAGAAACTTAATGCTGTATTAATAAATTCAGTGTGTAGCTTCAATTGGAATAGTTCTAAAAGTGAAGATTTTGTGAGAAATAAGTGAAAACTTTTTTTTATTTTAAAAAGTCTTTGACATTGTTGAGTCTTTGTGTCTGCAATGAAATTTATACTCCTTGACAGTTGGTAGATTATATATTCTTCCATCTATCAAACTTGGATTCCGCTATATTTATTTTTTGCCAAAAGATGAGTTATATTTGTTTGAAATCTGAGGCACTATGTTCAATTCGCTATAACTGTTCAAATTTACTCCTACCTGACATGGAATTCCTTCCTTGGATATCAAACACTACATTAAAGGTTGGTACGGATGACTTGCAAGCCTTATGGTTTTCATTACCAAAATTTTAAGATTCTGAATGTAGATGGAGTCTCATTTAAGAGTCTCCAAAGGTGGCTGCCCTCCTTCCCTGGTGAGACGTGTCAGTTGAGACTGTCTCGAGAGTGCTGAAGACTCAGTGGGCAGGGTGCTAGCCACTTGCCATCTTAGCCTGGGGCAGGAGGGACATTAATGATATATTTTGGATACAGGACTCTACTCCTCTGAGGACGTGAACACAAGTAGTTACCTATCACTTTAATTTACAGTTCCCAAAAGATTACTACAACCATGTCCATGCTCAGATTCAAATGGTTTTTCATTTTTGGGTAGTAAAATGATTTATAATGTTTTTTAACTGGCAGCACCAATTACCATTCCTTATATTCTTTGTGTGTATGTGTGTGTGTGTATGTGTGTATGTGTTTTTCACTGAGCTCTTGCATGACTTATCTTGCATTACCATCCTAAACAAACATTAAACACAGAATAAACTGTCTTTTTTTATGAATTAGGCTTTTGGAACATTCTATGTTGGGATGATCTTTTGTTTGTTTTTCAATTGGCAACAAAAGCTCTATAGGGCTACAAACATTTAAAGTCCACTTACTCTATAAAGCTTTCTGTATTTTGTGAAATTATTAGAATTTTTTTCCTCCTGATTTGCCATTATATTGATTTGCTACATTTTTTGATTTATGCAAAAGTCTGACTTTGTTTTTATGTGATGCACTATAAATATTAAAGTGTTGAATACTAACAGTGCTTACTACAAGAAGGATGTAGTATTTTTGCTTTCTGCAATAAAACATCTTCTGGAGGAAGGAAAAAAAAAACTATATGGCAAAGACCATAGTCTTTGGTATTGCCAAACAGTTCCTTTTTTCCCTGTTAGTATGGCCAAAGGATTATAAAACATAGGGATTGATACAAATGAACAAGAATGATACTGTTTGGCACCAGATAAATTTAATTATTTTGTTGTTGCATTTAAAATAAAGAATATTTTAATATAAACTAATTTTTATAAAGCAACCCAAGAAGTTACGGAGTAAACTTGGAGAAAATGACACTTAGCAATAATTCTGTATAAAAAAGTGTGTGTGTGTGTGTTAAGCTATTTTACCAAAAAATAGAAAAGTTGATTCCACTAAATTCTCCTCACTTCTTTCCAGCTTAGGTGGGTATTTACAAATTTTATCTCTGTTTCTCTCACTGTAGATGAATAAGGATATAGGCTTAGACACTTACACGTGAACTAATCACTAGCTTTGTTGCTAATTAGTGATAGACTTATAAAGCATTGTAAAATAAATGAGGAAAGAACAATGAGATATACCACAAGGGATGCATTTTGTTGAATGAGAATAGGGTGCTTTGTGCACTTCAACCTCTGCTTACTGTGAGGCAGTGGTGTGACTGGCGATAGCTTCACAGCAAGCTTGGGCTGTCAGCTCAAGCAAAGCACCAGTCCAGATTCTCTGAAACTACACAACGATGAGGTTGGGGATACATAGAAAAGAAAGGTAAGGATAGAATATGAGTGGCAAATTGAAATGCAAGCAAAAATATTTTGGGAAAATCACAATACCTAAAGTCAAAATATAAATTTCTGATAGTGTAAGTCACTTAAATAAACTAAGGAAAAAACAGATTAAATGAAAATAATTTGTTGCTCTCCCTTATAGCTTCACCTGCTGTTTCTCCAAAGGAGAATAAACACACCTCCCTCCGGAAAGTCAAATCAGAGACCACCATCACAACCAATCCAGATACCATAATAGAGAGGAATAAACACACCTCCACCCAGAAAGTCAATTCAGAGGTAACCATCAAAACCAACCCACACACCATCATAAAGGGAATAAACACACCTCCACCCAGAAATCAACTCAGAGACCACCATCACAACCAATCCACACACCATCATAAAGGGAATAAACACAACTCCACCCAGAAATCAACTCAGAGACCACCATCACAACCAATCCACACACCATCATAAAGGGAATAAATACACCTCCACCCAGAAATCAACTCAGAGACCACCATCACAACCAACCCACACACAATAATAAGGGGGAATAAACACACCTCCCACCAGAAAGTCAACTCAGAGACCACCATCACAATCAACCACACACAATCATAAAGGGTAATAAACACACCTCCCCCCAGATAGTCAACTCAGAGACCACCATCACAACCAATCCAGACACCATCATAAAGGGAATAAACACACCTTGCTCCAGAAAGTCAACTCAAAGACCACCATAACAATCAACCGACACACCAGCATAAAGGGGAATAAACACACCTCCCCCCAGAAGTCTACTCAGACACCACCATCACAACCAATCCACACAGCATCATAAAGAGGAATAAACATACCTCCCTGCAGAAAATCAACTCAGAGACCACCATAGCAACCAACCCACACACCATCATAAAGGGAATAAACACACCTCCCCCCAGAAAGTCAACTCAGAGACCAGCGTGACAACCAACCCACACACCATCATAAAGGGGAATAAACACAGCACAGATATCAACTCACAGGCCACCATCACAACCAACCCACACATCATCATAAAGGGGAATAAACACACCTCCCCCGAGAAAGTCAAATCAGAGACCAAGATAACAACCAACCCACATACCATCATAAAGGGGAATAAACACACCTCCTCCCAGAAAGTCAACTCAGACACCACCATCACAACCAATCCACACACCATCATAAAGGGGAATAAACATACCTCCCCCAAAAAATCAACTCAGAGACCACCATCACAATCAATCCACACACCATCATAAAGGGGATTAACACAACTGCCCCCAGAAAATCAACTCAGAGACCACCATCACAACCAATCCACACACGATCACAAAGGGAAATAAACATACTTCCCTGCAGAAAGTCAATTCAGAGACCACCATCACAACCAATCCAGACACCATTATAGAGGGGAATAAACACACCTCCACCCAGAAAGTCAATTCAGAGACAACCATCAAAACCAACCCACACACCATCATAAAGGGGAATAAACATATCTCACCCCAGAAATCAACTCAAAGATCACCATCACAACCAACCCACAGATGGCCATAAGGGGGAATAAACACATCTCCCACCAGAAAGTCAACTCAGAGACCACCATCACAACCAATCCAGACACCATCATAAAGGGGAATAAACACACCTCCCCCCAGAAAGTCAAAACAGAGACCATCACAATCAACCCACACACCATCATAAAGGGGTATAAAGACCCCTCCCCCCAGAAAGTCAACTAAAAGACCACCATTACCACCAACCCACATGCCGTCATAAAGGGGAATAAACACACTTCCCCCCAGATCAACTCAGAGACCACCATCACAACCAATCCACACACCATCATAAAGGGGAATATACATACCTCCCCCGAAAAATCAAATAACAGACCACCATGACAACCAACCCACACACCATCATAAAGGGGAATAAACACAGCACAGATATCAACTCAGAGACCACCATGACAACCAACCCACACACCATCATAAAGGGGAATAAACACACCTCCCCCCAGAAATCAACTCAGAGTTCACCATCACAACCAACCCACACATCATCATGAAGGGGAAATAAATACACCTCACCCCAGAAAGTCAACTCAGAGACCACCATCACAATCAATCCACACACCATCATAAAGAGATATAAACAGACCTCCCCCTAAAAGTCAACTCAGATACCAGCATAACCACCAAACCACACCCCATCAGAAAGGGAAGAAACACACCTCCCCCCAGAAATCAACTTAGAGACCACCATCACAACCAACCAACAACCATCATAAAGGGGAATAAACACACCTCCCACCAGAAAGTCAAATCAGAGACCACCATCAAAACCAATCCACACACCAGCATAAAGGGGAATAAACACACCTCCACCCTGAAAGTAAACTCAGAGACCACCATCAGAACCAATCCACACACTATCATAAAGGGGAATAAACACACCTCCCCCAGAAATCAACTCACAGACGAACATTACAACCAACCCACACCATCAATAAGGAAAAGGCCACACGGTGGAAAGAAAACAAAATGGTACTAAATTTAGTTTTCAAAAGTATCTTTAACAAAAATAAAATAAAAACTACCCTATAATTTCTCTATTTTTGTTTTTTAAATATAATTTAGTAATAATTTTCTGTGACTGTTAAAGGTTTTTAAAGAAAAGTTTTAGCCAAGGAAAATTCTTACCATAGTTTTAGAATAAGTTTCAAGTTTTGAAATAACGTTAAAAATGGGGTTTAGTTTTCATTCTAGAAAAAATAAGTAGACCCTATCCTGAAATGAGACATTGTAATTCTTTATGATAGGGACAGTTTCTTCTAAAAAGGATACAAGCTCATTAGTCATATTTCTTAAGGCTGTTCAAGTTTAGGTAAGCTTGAATTTCAAAGAAAGAAAGACAAACTAGCTTGATACAACTAACCATAAATGTTTTACTTGGACAATAAACACTTTGAGTTAGAAGGAGTCAAGGGAATGGTGTAAATACAAGCTTAGTGATCAGATCAAGATCTAAGCTAATAGAAAAAGTCATACAGAGGAAACCAACACTAGGGAATTCTATTATCTTGTAGCTGGGATAAAGCGAATATGTGTTCTTGTGGGAAAGGAAAAACCTGATGATAACTTTAAGCAAAGTCAAGAAAAAACAATCTTATTGTTTAACTAGTCAAATCAGAATCTAGAGAAAGGCAAAGACAAATTTAAATATTATATTGTTATCTAAGAAATAGGATTGTTAACTTAAAAATGAATTTAAAATTTTTAAATATTTACCATACAAAAAAGTAAATACTGCCTACCAATGACTGTGTTCAAGGATTCCACTTTTAAAACTCTAGCTCATTTCTGAAAATGTTATTGACCTCAGTTATGACGCAGATACCAAATTTCAGGCAAATAGAATTAATCAACTCCTTTAAAGGCAAATAATGGTGAGTTAAGTAGATATATACAGGCAGCTGGTAGAACTAGTTGAAGCAAAACACAGAGAGGTTAAATGTTGCACCAGCATTTTCACAGAACTAAGTAGCTTTCAGTCTTTATATAAGTAATGCTCTTGGCAAATGATTTCTGGACCTCACTTCTGTATACACTGCCAAGTAGCAAACAGTTGTGCCACCTAATGAGGTGAATACCAAGTACTAAGGGGTCATGCACATTTGCCTGGAATTGAAGATTAATGCTGGAATAGGTACAAATGCTCCGCTAGGTGAGAAATTTCAAAACTAAGAATCCAAGTTATACATGCTGGTTTTCTGGCTAAATACTATCAACAATCTGACCCCAAATACAGAAGCTGTGTTTACTACATTGGACATGAAATAAATTCATTAGATTCTACAGCATTCAAGTAAAGTTATTACAACTTCAGCATGAATAAAGAACCAAGTTTGTAGTCACGTAAACAAACAGTGCCATTTAGCTTCAATAAAGAATATTGGACTGTGAGCTGAAACAAACTGGTTCTTGACCCCATTCTCATGCTTGCTGGCTGTGTTATCTTGGGCAAGTCACTAAAACTCTCTAAGACTCTGTAAAACGAAAATAACACCACTTGCTTTAACTATTTCATAGGGCTATTGTCAGAATCAATTAAGACAATGTATAAGGGTGCTCTGAACATTGAAACACACATTATACAAGTAAAATTGAAATGAAAGTAGTCAACTTACAAGGGCCATGTTTACATCTTAATGTTAGACTACAGTGAATAAAATTCCTAAGAAAAATTATAACTAAAAAGTCTAAGAGCATGGCGATCAATAAATGTGCTATTATTACTAAATATTTGTCAGAAATAAGAAATACAGTTTATAAGAGTTGATTAACCAAAGGGAGACTCACTGTCAATGCCACTTCACTTGAGCTGATCTATCCTGGAAAGAAAAAGTCTAATACTGGCAAACACCAAAGTTGACCTCCACGTGATACTCTGTGGCAATCAAAGTTCAATCTGAAACTCATGAAAAATAAAAAAATAAAATAAAACTATTAAAAGTGCTCAAGAAAACAAACTGACAGCATGGGCTTGGATCCCTTTAATAGTCTAGGGCCACATAACAACACACAAATGCAGCCCAAATCCTATGAAACTCCTACCAGATTTTTATAGGCCAAGAACTCAATTAGGGAAGACTGGCTCACAACCTTTGCCTCTTTTGTTAGCTAGTGCTATAAATGCAAGTTCATTAAGCATTTGTTAGATTCTTTATAGTGTCTAGGGATACTTAGATACTATATATTCAATTTTATAAAAATTTTATTATTTCATGTCATATTTATATAACATTAGCACCATTAAAAGCTATTTATTAGTTCTTCAAATGTATAATTTAAATATAATTAGTATAATTTAAGTCCAGTTAAGTAGTATCTTAGATTTTTTCAAAATTGACTGTTACTCAGATAATTCATATGCTGAAACAGACTACATATTATATTTAATGTAAATGACAAAACAGTCTGTATAGAGAATAATCCACATTTGTCATGAAGTCAGGTATTACTTATAGTTTCATTGTGAAGGGCTATAATATTTTAGGTTAAGTAAATCACTAGGAAAATTTGAAACATTTTATTTACTGACACTAGTGAATGAAGTGAATGAAGAAGCATGTTAAAAGATGAGAGTGAGCAACAACAGTGTAAAAACATGACCTTCATTACTGAGTGTGTACATTGGCTAGTTTTCTCCAATGAAGACTTTTGGGGAGAAATGCCCACAGAATGCTGCTTGGGACATGGCCGTACTAAGACAAAATGTTATGATTTGTTGATTTTCTTAATGTTGTCTTCTTTCTCCCTATTAACAAAATAAGTAACTTAAGTCTTTGTTTTCCCTATTTTGCCTGCCTCAAAAAACTGATCAGGGAAGAAATCTAAAACTATTCTAAAAAATAAAGTATACTATATTCTTAAAAAATCAGAAGAAGTAAAACTACAAACAAAAAGTACATATTTTTCATAGTTTATCATGTTATGATTATTGGAGTAAAAATATACATATACATGTATGTAAAAAGTATTTATACATAAAAATTGGTATAAGTCAATTTTTCCTTTTAAGTAAAAAGATAATAATTTCAGTAAACCAAATTATATTTAAGTATTATAAATAATATGTTAATAGGCCTTTCAATTATAAAGGTTTTTCACTGTTCATGTTTGAGTAAAACTTTAAGGGTTCATCAAGACCATAAATCAGGAACAACTGGAAAGACTTATGCTCTTAAATCACCAGACACTAAATTAAACCACAGTTCTAAATGGATGGTATTCATGCTGGCATCTTACCTTCCCAGGCTTCAGGTCTCAACAACCTTCTAATGCAGGGAAAATCTCATGCCTCAACTTGGAATAAGACAAAGAGAAGCCAGCATCAGTTCACTTCCTGATAAAAGAAGTTAAGTATTAGAGCTGGGCAAAAGTCACAGTTGTCACTCTGCAGGGTATTCCTATGTAGAAAATGAAATGTTACTGATGACATAATGGACTGTTTTTCAGCTGCCTTCCAAAGGGAATAAGGGATGATAAGGACAGTAATCAAAAGGGTAATCAAAATGTGGAAGGAAGTGCATAATTTGATATAACTTCATTATGCAACAAGAAGAATAAGAAAATGAAGGAACTTTAAAGTAAGGCATGACATACGTTGCCTTTATCAGCCGCTGGCTTCCTAGAACAGCGATGAGCTGACCTGAGCTGGCTCTGGAGAGGAGTTTATACTCTTAGACAAGGGACACAGATCAGTAAGACAAGCTCAGGTAGAAGAGAAGTATACCTCAGAGAGCAAGTATACATGTTTCCATGATTTCATAAACATATCCTGCCAAGTGTGATAATAAGCACGGTGATCTGGCAAAATGTGAGAAGATTTCTCCTATTTTAAGTTTTGTTATAAGCATGGAGAGGTCAAGAAAGATATCAGTTGTTACTGCTGAGAACACTAATAAAGAATCTTTATCAGAAGGAAGATTACTAAAATGAAAAGTGTTAACAAAATGCATAGCTAAATAGAGCAACTGTTTTATGCATTTGCAACTGTTCTTCTATTATAAGCTTTGAGGCTGATATTTCCGTTCTTAAAGGTGTTCTAAAGATCAATCTAATTACTGATGTTTAATAAAGCATATGGCACAGTGCCAAAAGTCAAAGAAGACTTTGTCCTAATTAAGATCATCATAGAGGCATTCTTAATTTTTTTTTCAATTGAACTACAACCTTCTATTAAATTTACAGATGAAAAGGCAGAAGTCTTATCTAAAAAGAATGTCAAGAACCAGCCCATCTTAACCAATTTAGCTTAAGAAAATCTTAAAATTTCTGTGGTTAATAAAGCAAATCGGCTGGGTGCAGTGGCTCACGCCTGTAATCCTAGCACTATGGGAGGCCGAGGTGGGTGGATTGCTCAAGGTCAGGAGATCGAAACCAGCCTGAGCAAGAGCGAGACCCCATCTCTACTAAAAATAGAAATAAATTAATTGGCCAACTAAAAATATATAGAAAAAATTAGCTGGGCATGGTGGCACATGCCTGTAGTCCCAGCTATTCAGGAGGCTGAGACAGGAGGATCGCTTGAGCCCAGGAGTTTGAGGTTGCTGTGAGCTAGGCTGACGCCACACAGCATTCTAGCCCAGGTGACAGAGTGAGATTCTGACTCACAAAAAACCAAAAACAAACAAACAACAACAACAAAATAAAGCAACTCATAAAATCCTGATAATTCCTTTTGGAAACTAAGTTTAGTAAAATATATAGTGAGGTTCAGCAAAACTGCGGACAGACAAAAAATACCATATACAATTAAATGAGACAATATGCCAAATGTAGAAGCACAATTAATGTTGGTTGTCTTAAGTTTCCAATTGTAAGTGATCCTCAACCTTAATCATTTGACTTTCATTTAACTAGCCTTTCATAATTACATGTTTCCACTCCTAAACTGCTTCTCTTAAATATATTTCAGCCTTTATCACCTGACAAATGATAATTTCCACCTATTCAACAGAAGGACTGCCACTGTGTAGATAGGGGACAGAACTTGGTCTCAGCCAGGACAGCAGCTTATAGCTGTGAGGGCAAGTATTACTTGGAAATGCCCCTCAGGGAGGGTCCTGTGAAACCAGAGCTTACTAAGCCACTTTTGGGTCACTATTCCAACAGATAATTCTTTGCCAAGTTAAACCTCCTACCACAAAGTTCCACCCCTGCACTGTGCAAGGGCTGGCTCTGAAGTCATCCTCAGGATGGGTCACAAGATGCATGGAGGACAGTGGGGCAGCAAATAGAGGTTTCACCCAGTTAGTGATGCAAGGAAAGGTGAATACAAACCCCTTTGCCCCCTCTTGCTCCAAGAACCCTGTAAGTTCCAGTTGTAAGGTTGAAAGATTAAAGACTGGCTGACCTTGTGTCTAAGTTGGCCTAGAAGTGCCAGGATTGTTTTCTAGTACAAGACTGAAGTAGACAACAAAAAATGATTACCAGGTGTCCTGTCAAATGTACCGTTTTGGGTTATCTGATTCTATAGGGGTCTGCTCTTTCGTTGTCTTTCAGTTATTTTACAACTCTGTAAATTGTAGAAAACTTATGTTAATTAAAATGAATTTTGTCAGAATAATACAACAGTTTGCCCTGTGGATACTGCCTATTTGTAAGTTCATTTCAACATGTCTGATTACCTATATATGTTTGGGTGGTTTCAATTCTCCTTTGAGTCAGTTCTGACATCTATTGGTCCCCTCATTAATTAAATATATCTTGATACGTGTTCATTTTATATTTATATAAATATCATAATTTTCCCTTTTATAAAAATTTTTTAGAAGTTTTGAAGGTCATCCACTGACATGCACAATGCATTCATCTGACAGAGCTAGATAAACTGAGCTGCCAGAGAAATACACCTCCGCAACAGTTTATGCTCAGGAATGTCTCTTACTGGCTCCCAGAGGTGAATTCCAAGCAGTAGAGCTTGGCTCTCTGTTTCTCTGGCTTTTCCCCCTCTCTAAATTAATTTTATGGAGTTTTTCATTTATGGCTAATTAGTTATTTCCCATTTGTAAGAGCAATAATGAGAACTTCAGTTTTATACTTTGACCATCTGTTGGTGAGAGAGATCTAGTCTCTACTAGGCGACAGATGACAGAAAAGCGGGTTAGACTTTTTTTTTAATTGTCTATTTTTTGTTTTTAGCTCAAATCAATTAAAATGTTATGCACACTGGAATGTTATGCCCTCTTTGACATTCGGACCAGAGATATTTTGTGTTTTTGTGTTTACTTAGATTTGTGCCAAATTTGGAGATCTGAAGCTACAAGCTCTGCCTCTACATGTCTGAAACTCAGAAAGCCCTTTCCCTCTAATTATGTGAGGGTGAATGTCTTCCGAGCTACAGAAGATAATAATAAATTATAATATCTCTTAAAGAAGCTCTGTTCTGATTGACTTATAAAGACAAATAAGCCTTTACATAAGTTGAATATTCCTAAAATTCCCAGAATAAGGAAATTGAATTTCTAATGCCTTAATTGTATTAACCAAAATTATTCTCACCAAAACATTTTAAAAATCCAAATTCATAGTAATAAGAGTAAATCTTTGTTAAACAAGACTGGCCTAATAATTTTGGTTTAATAAAAATAGCTATATCTTTTCTCTCATTTATCCATATTAAGTATGACACAAACATACATTTCATTCTACTGAGTTTGTTTTACTTAAGTTATACAGGTTTACTGATCAAATAAGCTAATATTGCTCCTATAAATTGTTAGAAATTATTTAAAAATGTAAAACTGTGTTCAACTAAATTGAATCATTATTCTGACATTTTATTTCAACCATAATTATGTTTTGTAGTATTTATCTTTTATAGAATAATTTTCAAGGTAAATTTAAACCTCAGACTGATATTAAATTGAATTAATATCATTAGAAACAAATAATTTTTAAGAAAGAGAATATGGAAACAATCACTAAATATAATTTTGTGTTTATACTTTTCTTATATAAATGTTATAGCTTTGGATCATGTTAATGAAGATATTTATTTTGCCACTTTAAAAAGTTGTATAAAGGATGTGTGTGGCAGTAGAAAATTCTAACGTGTTCATCACTTTTGCATGTCTACTAACTTAGCAGTATATGCTGGGCAATTCTTAACTATCCATCCCCTAGTTTTCTCTGTGAAATAAAAGTTAGTTACTTGGTCGAGCGCGATGGCTCTCACCTGTAATCCTAGCACTCTGGGAGGCCGAGGCGGGCAGATCACTCAAGGTCAGGAGTTTGAAACCGGCCTGACCAAGAGTGAGACCCCATCGCTACTAAAAATAGAAATAAATTTTATTGGCCAACTAAAAATATATAGAAAAAATTAGCTGGGCATGGTGGTGCATGCCTGTAGTCCCAGCTACTCGGGAGGCTGAGGCAGGAGGATCGCTTGAGCCCCAGGAGTTTGAGGTTGCTGTGAGCTGGGCTGATGCCACGGCAGTCTAGCCCAGGCAACACAGCAAGACTCTGTCTCAAAAAAACAAAACAAAACAAAAGTTAGTTACTTGATTGAAAGTTATAATTGATATGAGTAATGAGACTATACTAGGAACAGTCATGACAAAAATATAACTGTGTATGCACTTTTGATTTTTCAAGGAAAAAGTTTTATTTGAAAGCAGCAGTTCTTAGGTTTTTGGCCTTCAAACCAGTGGCCTTTAGGACTTATTGATGACTTCAGAGTGTTTTTGTTTACATGAGTTAGAACTATTGGTATTTACTATTTTGGAAATTGAAGCATAATTTTTAAAAATATTTATTGATTCATTTGAAAATAATAATGAACATGTAGCATGTTATAAATAACATCTTAGTGTTATTATAAAAATAATTTTTTGTTTTGAGATGAGGACTTGCTCTGTCACTCAGGCTAGAGTGCAGTGGCATCAACATAGCTCACTGCAGCCTCAAACTCCTGGGCTCAAGCGATCCTCCTGCCTTAGCCTCTCAAGTAGCTGGGACTATAGGCACATGCTACCACACGTGGCTAATTTTTCTATTCTTTGTAGAGATGGGGTCTCGTTCTTGCTTAGGCTGTCCCTGACCTCAAGCGATTCTCCTGCCTCGGCCTCCCAGAGTACTAGGATTACAGGCATGAACCACCACACCCAGCCAAAAGGATTTCTTATTTTACATTACCATCCATTTCTTTCAGTCTGGAGAACTCCTTTTAGCATTTCTTGTAAGACAGGTCTGGAGGTGATGAATTCCTTCAGCTTTTGATTGTCTAGGAAAGTCTCTTTCCTTCATGTTTGAAGGATAGCTTTGCTGGATACAGTATTCTTGGTTGGCAGGGGTATTTTTGTTTTGTTTTGTATTTCTCCTTTAGCACTTTGATATAGC